TGCATTATTTCCAGTTGAATACTTATTTGCTTAGGTTATTGTCTATCGTTTGCTATTGTACTTAAAAAGCGCCTTTTGGATTCAGGTAATACAATCAGCCATGTTTGTTCTTGCATACTGTATGGAAAATGATAGTTTGTATTTTGAGCAAAACACAACACAAAAACGGTCAGTAAATCCACCTTTTCTCTGGTTTGTGTGGCAAGTGGTTTGCTGGTGAAGCAGCAGTGACTATAAAGGTCAGTCCTCGCCGAGGGTCGCTGTTCTTCGGCCGGCTTTTGTTCGGGAACGGTTTTCCTTCGGGCCTCTCTCCGATAAGAATGCGGCAGGAAGACCTGTTATGACCTGACAGGTGGGGAATATTCTATAATACGTTTAAGTACCACTTTATAATATTTAATACATTTAATATTATTGTGATATATTGTAATAATTTGAATGATATTTGATATATTTAATACATTTAATACATTTGTATATTTTGATATATTTTAAATACTTTAATACATTTGATATATTTGATATATTTGGAACCTTTTCAAACACAGGTGACAAAGGTGCTTTCCCCTCTTTCTTCATGTCTCTTCTTTCATTCAACACTGTGTCCTCTCTTCTTCATGGTCTCTTCTACATTCACACATGTGTCCCCGTCTTCTTCATGTCTCTTCTACATTCAACATGTGTCCCTCTTCTTCATGTCTCTTCTACATCAACATGTGTCCCCTCTTCCTTCATGTCTCTTTCTGATATCAACATGTGTCCCTCTTCTTCATGTCTCTTTCTACATCAACATGTGGTCCCCTCTTCTTCAATGTCTCTTCTACCTTCAACAATGTGTTCCCTCTTCTTCATGTCTCTTCTACAGTCAACAATGTGTCCCTTCTTCTTCATGTCAACATGTGTCCCCTCTTTCTCAATGGTCTCTTTACACATCCAACATGTGTTCCTCTTCTTCATGGTCAACATGTGTCCCCTCTTCTCCATGTTCTCTTCTACATTCACACATGTGTCCCCTCTCTTCATGTCCACATGGTGTTCCCCTTTATCCATCGTGTCTCTTCTACATCAACATGTGTCCCGCTCTTCTTCATGTCTCTTTCTACATCACCATGGTCCCACTTTCTTCATGTCTCGTTCTACATCACCATGTGTCCCCTCTTCTTCCATGTCTCTTCTACATCAACATGGTGGTCCCTCTTCCTCCCATGTCTCTTTTCTAACATCACCATGTGTGTCCCCGGAACTTCCTTCATGTTCTTCTCTACATCAAACATGTGTCCTCGTCTTCTTCATGATCTCTTCTACATCAACCATGTGGTCCCCTCTTCTCCATGTCTCTTCTACATCAACAATGTGGTCCCCTCTTCTTCATGTCCTTCTACATCCAACTGGTGTTCCTCTGTCTTTCATGTCTCTTCTACATCACCATGTGTCCCGCTCTTCTCCTGTCTTTCTACAGTCAACATGTGTCCTCATTCTTCATGTCTCTTCTACATCAACATGTGTCCCCTCTTCTTCCATGTCTCTTCTACAGTTCAACATGTGTCCGCTTCTGTGGAAAGAGACTCTGAAAGTTTCAGGAACAAAGAATTCTCTCTCTCTTTTGGATCCATTTCTATAAAAACCTGTCTGAAAATGGAGGGGGCTGATCATGATTTTGGGCACTTTATGATGTCAAATGTGTTTTGTCCTTGTGTAACCATTTAGCCAATCAGACACCCAGGTAAGCGGGGGGGGGGATGAAACTTAAGCTCGCAATGGGAGCGAGCTTAAGTTTCACTTTCGAGTTGCAAATACAAAGCCCAGCGCCAAACCACCTCCGTCAAGCTGTTGCACTTGTTTTGTACCATTTTTCAGGCGATTTGGTAATCTGTTTCTACGAAAAACGATGTGTTTTTTAGGATTTCAAGAAGCATATAGAACCACAACAGTGGAATGTATTTCATGAACTTGTATCGATGCTGGAAAAGTCAAGTGATTTTAGATGTGCTCCTAGGAGTGAGATAAGAGAGTTGATTATCTAATATATGCATCCGATGAAGGCATATTGCAGAGTCTGTTGATGACATCAGGAGGCGGCTGTTCGTGTTGGGCCGCATTAACGTTTTTTTATTGTTTGTTTTGTAGGACAGACCATGCAGGCCTCAGGAGAGTTCAACTTGGGCCTGCGAGCATAGTTTTTTTGTATTTGTTTTGAAATCCACAGCGGACAGTTTGTGTCGTACTACATGCGGTGTATTTTGGCATATCTCTCAGTAGCCAACAATCTGTGAGTCTGTTGGCTCGGACATAAACTCGTGTTTAAAATAATACTACAGAATAGATGTAGTCTAAATTTCATAATAAGAGGTGTAAAACCTGAGAGGATTTTAAATCGCATTTGAACTAAATGCTTATACAATCTGTAGTTGTATTTGCATTGTTGATTTAATGTGTGAACGAGGCGATATAGAGAAGGTTAAGCTGTCATTATTAGGCTGTAATTTGTTATATACTGTTGGAATGGGTAAGCAGGCCTATTGTTTTTGGATATTTGTGGAGTTAGGTGGTCCATGAGTGTTTTTTATTGGTTAAGTGGTCCTTGTTATGAAAAAGTTTGAGAAACACTGCGCTAGTGGATTGTCAAAGGGGGAGCCTCGTTGCGGGGAAATTATACAGATGGCTAGTCCGCCCCTGAAAATGTCTATGCAAACGTTATTATTAATAATAAAAAAAAAAATTAAATTATAAAAAAAATGAATCAATTTTTTTTTATACATTTTTTATTTTCCATTTTAATTTTGTAATCATCTCGCGACCCCCACTTTGGGAACCCCTGTCCTAGAGCACCATTGAGTTCTTTGTAACCAAATGTTTCTCAGAGGGGCGTGAGGAGGGGCTCCTTATTTTCATCTAAAGTAACAGACAGAGAATCAGCACTTTGGAAACAGGGCTCAAACAGAGGGGATTATGGGTAATGCTGCAATGATCTGTTTGGTGTTATTGATGAAAAACAGTATGATAGGGGACACATTGTAAAACAAACTAAATGTAATAAAGCAGACGTAAAATCACAGAAAAGCTACAAAGAAAATTGGGTTTTTAGAACTATAATGTCACGGGAAGTAGGGGTAGTAGAGGAATTCCTTTCATGTAAATGTATTTAATTGTAATCTCTTTCTCTTCGTCCCAGTTTTGTTTTTCGAGGTGATCTTCGGTTATGTCACGGCCTTCGCTCCGAGCTACGAGGTGTTCGCCGTGTCGCGCCTCCTCGTCGGTTTGATGAACGGCGGCATCGGCCTCGTCTGCTTCGTGCTCACTCAGGAATACGTGGGGAAATCCTACTGGGCCATGACCGGTACGGAAAACACCAAAACAATCCCATCATGCATCACTCTGTCTTTATGAAGTCCTGTTTTTTTTCACCTCCTAATTAAGTGGATCATTTTTATTTGGATATATGTCAGGTAAAGAGACGGGACCATTTGCTGCTTTTCTTCTTAGATATTTATTTAACTTGAATATAACTTGAGTTTATTGATAAAACCATATTGGATTATGACAGGATTTAGTTGTGATTAATCATGTGTACGACGTGGCATAAGGGCCATGATTTTTTTTTAAAAACATGACGTTTCTAGAGGAAGGAGGTTAAAGTGGTAAATGTATATAATGACAAAATCATTGGAAAATAAAATCCAATATATGAACCAAGCGATTTTGATTCCTGTAAAATAAAATTCCCGATTTATTTGTTGTACTAAAAGTCGTGACTTCATAATCCCAGAAAAAAAAAAGCAGGAAATGTATTTCTTTTTAATCCCAGGAAAAACTCAAATTATTTTCTCTACATTTTTGGCTTTCTCGTATATTTACCACTGTAAATGTGACCGTTTAGTCCCCCCCCCACTGCCCCTCGATGTATTGTCGAGCGGCCTTAGGTTTCTTGAAAGGCGCTATATAAATCCTAGTTATTATTATTATTATTATTAACCTCGGAAATTCAGAATAGTTTTCTCGGAACATTACCCTGCTATTCTATTATTTTGTATTTTTTTTTATCACCTACAATGACCCTAGATTCCTAGAAGTGGGACTGTTCGCTGCTGTTTGCTTACTTTAATATGGAGTTTAGTGATACTAAACTGTCCCATTGTTGATTTTGCCGTGCCGCTGTTACAGTGCAGTCCCTCTAACCACAGAATTAACCTTTTTTTTATTTCCTCCTCAGGGACGTTGACCAGCATAAGTTTTGCAGTCGGCATCGCCCTGTTCGGAGCGCTGGGTTACTTCATCCGGCCGTGGAGGACCCTGGCCATCGTGGCCAACTCCTCCGGGGTCCTCTTCTTCCTGCTGTCCGTGTGAGTAAGACTTCAGAGAGTGTTGGGGAAATACTGAATGTACTCTCTTCCAATATCAGAGTCCACATGATATCAAAGGTCTCCCAACTGTAGCTGTGAACATGACAGGATGTGTGATTACCTAGAAGAGCATCAGGACTGTTTGAGGCATATGATAGCTATGTGATTAACATGATGATTCAGCCTCTATGGAGAGAGACATATGACAAGCATGATCATTTCTGACGTGGAGCTAATCTGAAGTAAACATTGAATACTGCTTTCTATTCCTCCATCTTGTGACTGTGGAACTCCCTCTCTTGGATATCAGCATGTGAAGGACACTGTTCAGGAACTAGTTGATGCTCTGTATGTGATGACTACTTCCAGAATATTGAGAAAAAGTCCGAATTTTTAGGAAAAGTGAAAAGAAATTGTAAAGTAAAAATAAATTGTAAAAGTCAGAATTTTTAGATTTTGAGAAAAAGTCAGCATTTTGAGTGAAAGTCAGCATTTTGAGTAAAAGTTAGAATTTTGAGAAAAAGTCAGCATTTTGAGTAAAAGTTAGAATTTTGAGAAAAAGTCAGGATTTTGAGTAAAAGTCAGGATTTTGAGAAAAAGTCAGGATTTTGAGTAAAAGTTAGAATTTTGAGTAAAAGTCGGGATTTTGAGAAAAAGTCAGGATTTTGAGAAAGTCAGATTTGTTGGTAAAAGTTAGAATCTTGAGGAAAAAGTCCGA